TATTTTTTTGTTAGTTTTAAGTAGTGGTTATCTTTACGGATTGTATTAATTAGTTTTCTGTTGCTGTGGCCAACATATCTGGCAGGACAACTTAGGGGAAGAAACATTTATTTTAGTTCATGGTTTCAGAGGTTAGGTCCATAATTTTTTGTTCAAAATGAGTTTGAGCAAAAGCATCATGTTATAGAAGACAGCTGTGTACAACTGGAAATATAGTAGGAACCAAACTGGAAAATCAGAGTTAGCAGCACTTTTACTTTAAAAATGTAGTAAAAAGTTACAGTTATCAAAACAGCAGCATATGGGCATTAAAAACAGGCAGAGCAGGGAAACAGAATCAATATCCAAGAAGTAAACCTGAACAAAAATAGTCAACTAAGTTTTGGCAAAATGGATAGTCTCTTCAATAAATTATGCTGAGAAAACTGGATATTCATATGCAAATGAAATTGGACCCTTACATGATTCACAAAAATCAATTTACAATATACAAAATATCTAAATGTAAGTCCTAAAGCCATGATACATGTAGAAGAGGCCACAGAGGGAAGTTCCTTGTCATTGGCCACAGCAGTGACTTTTTGGAAATAAAACAACATTAAATTAAAGTGTCTGCAATGGGAAACAATTATCACAGTGAAACAGTTAAAAACCAGTATTAGGATGCATCAAACCCTTATAACTTAGTAGCAGGGGATGGAGTGTGATTTTTATGGATTCTGTTGAAAATCTGTGAATATGTAGGTTCTCTCTCTCTCTCTCTTTCTCTCTCTCTCTCTCTCTCTCTCTGTGTGTGTGTGTGTGTGTTTGTGTATGTGTGGTGCACATGGTGTATTCCTGAGTATGTGGGTACATTCATCTGTGCCTGCACATGTGGAGGCTGGAGGTTGACGTAGAGTGTTTTCCTCATTACTTTCCACTTTGTTTTGAGATAGTGTCTTTCACTGAACCTGAATGGGCTATTATTCATTGGGCTAGCCTATAGGCCCAGTGAGCTTTGGGAATCTACCTGTCTCTACCTCCCCCACAGCACCAGAGTTACAGATGTATGCCACTGCACCTGGCTTTGGGTGATGAGAATCTGAACTTAGGTCCCCATGCCTACTCAGCAAGTACTTTAACCTCTGAGCCATCTTTGTAAACATGCTTTTAGGAGTAGTGTTTATAAGGAAGAAACTCAGCTACATTTCAAATAGGCCTTTATGTTATGAACACATCTTACAGCTTTTATAAATTTTTTTTTTGCTTTTCTCTGTTAAAAAGAAAAGTACCATGGCATCATTGTTACTAACACATCCATAGTATGATGCCTTATGCATTTGACATGGGACTTTTCTACACCCGCCAAGAAAAAGCACTAATTGCACTGACCATAAAGGCTGTTATTTGCAATCTATTCCATTGCTCTGAGTCATTAATGGTTACAGGATTTATACTTATCCTGTAATACAAAGCATTTTCTTCTAGGCCTGAAGTTAAATAATTTCATAAAATGTATGCAGGGATGTTCCAAGGTATCTTTGTCTTGATTCATGTACTTGAAAAAACAAAGTCAGGCATTTGTAAGATTGCTCTCTTTCTCTCTCTCTCTACCCCTCTCTCTCTGTTATGTGTGTGTGTGTGTGTGTGTGTGTGTGCATGAGTTCTTGTGCAAATAAGCATGCATACATGTGCATGCACATGTATGTGAAGGCCAGAGGTTAACCTCAGGTGTTGTTTTCAGGAGCCATCACTTTTCATTTATTTATTTTTTTCAAACATGGTCTCTTACTGGGACTTGGGGTTCTCTGATTAGGGTAGGATGTCTGGCCATCTGGCCCCAGGCACTTTTCTGTTTCTGACTCTCAGAGCTGGGATTATAATGTGCACCACCACACATGGGTTTTGTGTGAGAGTTCTGGGATTTGAACTCAGGTCTTCATGCTTGTGTGCCTAGTGCTTTATCTCGACCCCTGAGGGTACTCTTTGTGCATGTTTCCTCACACTTGCCATTATGAGTTTTGACAACAGAAGTTGTTTCCTCACTACTTTGATGAAAGAACATACTTACTAGACTGACTTGTTTATTTCTAAATCCTTTTAGAGCATGTAGTACATATTACATGGTATAAAAACAAGTATAACACTTTATTTTTTGCTTTTTTTCATGAAATTGACCAATAAAATCCTTCTTCCCTTTGAGGGACATTGCCATGGTAAGGTTTTGGCTATATGAACTGGATAGAAAGGAACTAGATGGCTATACCTTGCGCCAAAAGTATGTATGAGAATCACTTACTCACTAAATGTAGGAGTGAACTCCCTGAATGGTGCGATCAGGACTTGGAAGAAATTAAAGTGAGGTGAGGGGATTGAGGGGACAGGCCTTCTGTTTCAGTGAGGTGAAATGAACAAAATCCACAGTGAAGCAAGTGACAGCTTGAGAGAGGAAGCAGAAGGCAAAAGCCTGGGCACAATCAGGGCCAGCAAAGTGGTAGTATAGATCTATTTATCTGAGCCAACATATCTTAAATTTTTCTCCTTAATCAAAGTTTTCTTTTAAAGAATTTGACTGCTTGCTTAGCATATTCTTTTTCTGACTTTCATGAAGGTTTTAGAACATACAGTTTCTTTTTTTAAAGTACTTGTATGCTTGTATACATGTTTTGTGTGCATGTGTTGTGCTACAGTATATGTGGAAGTCAACAACTTTCTACCTTGTTTGAGATGGGCTCTTGTTCACCATGGCCTATGCTGGGCTAGCTGGCCTTTGTGCTTGCGTGGATTCCCCTGTCTCCACTTGCTATCCCATCTTACTGTAGGAGTGCTGGATTACAGATGTGTGTTACTATGTCCGGATTTATGTGGGTTCTGGAGATCTAAACCTGGTATTCACACTTGTATGGCAAGTGCTTTACCTACTAAGCCATCTCTCCAGTATTCAGAACTGCATCTTCTTTTGAGAACATTGCTTACTTATTGTATGAGTCACATGACAGTCTGTAAGGTCAGAAAATAAGTATATACACACACACACACACACACACACACACACACACACACACAGAGAGAGAGAGAGAGAGAGAGAGAGAGAGAGAGAGAGAGAGAGAGAGAGAGAATGATAGTACCACTGCCTCCAACAAAAGCAGGATTCTGTTAGAATTGGAGAATAAATGCTGGATAAATATCTAGCAAGATCCTTCATAAAATCCTGTGTGCCTGGTGACCTCCCTGCTATACAAAGTTGTTATCAATCACAGTAAAATAGGAAGGAAGGTTAGCCAATATTTTGTCTCAAAAACTAATAGACATATCTGAAAGGGAAAAAAAAACAAGTTAAATTATGAATGTAATGGAAAACTCAAAATATAAACACGTTATTTTTCCAGGATCCTAAAAGAATAATTCATTAGGATCATTTAGGGTCTATAGTATAATAGCAGAAATGTTTTAATTTTGGGAAAATATAGATATCATATGACATATCAAAGGTCCTGTCAGAAAGAAATAGGATAAGCAAAATAGATAAAGAAGTTGATAAAAGCCAGCATTTAGATCTGGTTAAAAATCATCTATATAGTATCAACTTGCCTTCTAAACTTTGTTCATGCCCAGACAAAAGCCCCCTTTAACCCTAATCACAGAAGCATCTGTGTACCCAAGGTACTGAGAATAAGCAACAGTTGTGGATTCAGCCCTAAATAAGATATTTACACCACTCCCTCTCAGGGTCAGGAAACATTGCAGAGGAGGAAGTGGAATGGATGTAAGAGCTGAAAGACAGGGTGAAGGAACTGTGAAATGCCACCCTCTAGACTCCTTGCATACATTGCAGTCACCAGTTCACAACTGCATTTAACTCACACGTGACTGGCCCTATCAGTGAGTCTGGAAGGGCTCATGGGATCCTACCCTTCCTGCTGAACTGTTGATGAATGGTAGATTCTGGGAGGGCAGAACCCTTGTCTGCAGTTGTGTAGCCACCCCGGAGGCTGCCAGGTTCCAACAAATAGTTCCAAACTCAAAGTCACATAGACAACCCTGGTTAAAATCAGGGGAAGGAGAGGGTCACAGAACAAAATGAATAGGCATGAACATGAGAAAGAAATATGGAGGGAAGTGGTGAGGAGAGCCAGGTGGTAGGAAGATGGAGAAGGTAGGGGGTTAGAGTGAGATCTGCATCTCATATATGTATGAAATTATCAAAGAACAAATTTAATTAATAAAAATAAACAACTAGTCCTAGGTAAGACTAGAAATACATTTCTTAGCAAAATAAGAATATTTAACTTCCTATGCTAACAAGTTTATCCCACTTCAAATGATAAAAGTATGTTCTATACCTCCAAGCCAGGTGAAACTATCTATGAAATATACTTTTAACTAATATCTGAACGTGAATGACATAGAGCTATAATAACATGCTCCTTGTTGCTTCCTTCTGCAGGGTTCCAAGACATTCTCCAGTGTGTACCTTGGAGCTCATTCTTTCCTCTCTCTTCACCTCAGATCTTTCCAGCTCACTTCCACACAGCCAGTGAGCCTAACTAGGTAAAATATTGTACACACCATAATAATGCCAGAAGAACTTGTACCCATTTATTCCCCTCAAAAAGTGAGGGTACTTTTAATATTGCCTTTGAACTTTTACAACTATATAGCTTTAGGAAATCAAATTATTCCTTCTTTTAGTGAAGTGTGTAAGAGATATTTGCTCTGAGACCATTAGCTTGTAGGCTAAAGCTTTAAATCATTGAACCACAGCAATATGTTCCAAATCAATATTTTAAGATTTTTGAAACCATAGTTCACCTTAAGGAATACTAAGCTAGCCTTATTGTTACTGGTTGTAACCATGGTATGGTCCAATTTTCTTTTAAATATGAACTTTTCTTGGTGGAATGTTTAGGTTCTGGTTGCTGGCTTTGCTGTGATTGGCAGGAAGGTGATAGGAGTTTGTTAAATGTTGTTTTTTTTTTTTTTTTTTTTTTTTTTTTTTTTTCTGCCCACAGCTCTTATACGTGAAGCGTAGTGCCTCATTAGCCCAAGGACCTCACCAACCGGAAGTTGTCATTTTTTACCAGCAATCCATCACGTCCCCTTTGACCTGGTTTTCTCTTTCACAAAGTGGAAGCTTCTCTTTGAAGTTATTTTTGTTATACGTTTAAGCAAATGGCTGACCATGGCTTGGATGAAATTCCTAAAAAGTGCCCCCACTGTGCGTCTTCGGAGGACGATCGGTTTTGCTTGTGCTCAGGGGTCAACTCTCCAGTTCTGGTGGTGGAAATGTCACAGACATCAAGTATTGGTAGTGCAGAGAATTTTACTTCACAGGAAAGAAAAAAAGAAAGAAATGCCAGCAGAGAACCTTCTATGAAAGATCTGGTAAATATGGGATATTCTACAACATGCATTGACAGCCCTTTCTTCCTTCTCATCCCCAGGCTTCTCCCTGTCCTCCTGCCCTTGCTGGCTATTTCAGTGGCTTCTTACAGTCCTTAGAGAACTGTTTGCTTTCCACAGCAGAGATGTGCAAAGTTGGTTAGTTATTTGTTTTATGATACTTTCAGTCACTGTCAAAATTATTTCTCAGGATACCAAACAATTAACATTATTATTCTAGCTCTTAAAAGCTTTTTATACAGAAAAAAAAAATCTTCTTATTCAAATTTAACCAAATAGGGCTTTTTGGTAGTTTTCTTCAACTGATACAGCGAGGTTTATGACAAAGGTTAGAGTGTGGCTGTGGCTTCATTATCTAAAAATGAAGTTCTAGTTATCTATCTAGAGTATAAAATATACTTTGCAAGATTGTTCACATGATTTTCAAATAATGTAGGTCTTCCAATCAAACTGAGTTGGCTGTATTCATCGGTATGAAGATCACAGTGGAAGGCTGAAGTTAATCTAGCACAGTTTTTGGTGACAAGGAACAGGAAGTTTAAGGAAAGTCAGGCATTCATTCTTCACCGGAACCTTTAGACCTTTGCACCCTCACCTGAAGGTCTTCTTTAGCCTAATGTGCCAATGACTTGCCCTGCACTCTGGGTTTGAAAAAGACAGTAAACTCTTGTATACAGTAAATACTATGGCACACATTAAGGCTGATCCCACTTAGAGTTCATCATTAATAATAATGTTACATCTTAAGAGTCATTTCTCATAATTCTTTTTTGGTCTTAGTCCACAAGAACAAACGTGGAGAGAAAAACCTCTCAGCAACAGTGGGGTCGGGGCACTGTCACAGAGGGAAAAGTCCTGCACATAAGGATGGAGAACGGGGCCGACATCGAGGTATGCAGAGAGCAAGCTACAGCTCTTAGAGATGGTCAGCTTTCTTCTTTCTAGAATTCTCTTTTTATCTTTCATCTTTTTAACAGAATTTACTATTTCAATTAAATTTTCTTTCACAATATATTTTGATCCATGTTTTACTCTCCCTCAACTCCTCCTGGAACCTCCCCACCTCTTACCCACCCAACTTGATCTTCTCTCTCTCTCTCTCTATCTCTATCTCTCTCTCAAAATCAATAAACTCCCAACCAAAACACAAAACCACAAATAAACAAGTAGAAGGTCAAAAGACAAAAATGCCCCCCCAGATATGAAAAGTACACATACACACACACACACACACACACACACACACACACACACACACACACACACACCAAAACAAAGAAAAACACTGAGTCCATTTTGTGTTGGCCAAGTACTCCTGGGCATGAGACCTGTCCTGGATTGTGGTTAATATTCTCAGCGATGCTTGTTTGGAGAAACTGTCTCTTTACCAGCAGGTATCAACTGCAAACAGCTTCTTGGTTGGGGATAGACTCTACACTCACTTCTCCCTCTCAGTTCTGGGGCCTCTATGTCATGAACCTGTGCAAGTCTTATGAGTGTTGACACAGTCTCTGTGAGTTCACATGTGAACCTAAGAGTTCCCATAGGAAAACCTAACACTATTATTCTGCTAAAGGAACATAGCAATAAGATAATTCAAATGACATAATGTTATACCCATAGACCAGTATCTTGCTCAGCCCTCATCAGGAAAGCTCCTTGCAATAGACAGGAATTAACGCAGAGACCCATGACTGGACATTGTGCTCAGATACTTAGTTCTAAATGTGATGGCTTCATTAGACTCCTCCCTTATGATTCAGGGATTTATGTGCAAGAGGAGGCAGAGGATTGCAAGAGCCAGAAGTGATGGATGACTCCAAGGATAAAGATATAGCAGAAACTTTCTTCCTCAAAGCCAATGGCTCTGGCAGACCAGAGACAACTGAAAACAGCCTCTGAGGAAAGGAAGTAAAGACTGCAGTAAAAATCTTAAGTACATTGGAGTTTTCTAAAGGAAATGCAGGGCAAGCATGAGAATTAGAATTTGGATTCCTGGCACCTGTGTAGAAAGTAGGGTACAGTGGCACCTGTAGTTCCAGTGCTGGAGAAGAGGAGACAGACAGAAAGATTGGAACTAACTGACTGCCAGGTTCAGTGAGAGCCTTGTCTCAAAAATTAAGGTGGAGAATGATCGAAAAAGATACCTGGGATTGACCTTTGCCCTCCACCCACTCTTGAACACATGTACATGCACATCCACACATGTAAACATGTTACACCCAAGAACAAAATCAGAAAAAGAGAAAAAATATAGCTACTTGAAAATTAAAACATGATTAAATATATAAACATGATTTAAAATATGATTAAAGGAACTATGAAAAAATAATTATAAGAAATATTGCATTCATATTATGTAACTTTAAAAATGGTTTTGTTAATTTATTTGAAATTATTAGGAAAACCCGAAACATTTTGACTTGGACAGTGTAAGCCTTTTCTGAAATAAAAGTCCTGTACTTAAAGCAATATATAAATTTACCAAGTTTTAAATTTAGCCATAAGAACCTTTCTAAGCCATAAGAACCTTTCTAAAAGCAAAATGTGTTCACTTTTAGTGTGAGTTAGAGATGACCAATTTCCTTTACTTCATTTTACCCTATTTTCTTCATTAAATTATATAATATTTAAATTTACATACACTTTAGAGAAGTAACCTTTAGTAAGATAGTTGAAATTTAGGCTTCTTTCCCTGTTAACATGGACAGGCTCATTGTAAATACTTTGACTATTTGGGAGAGAATAATGAGCAAAGCTATAATTAGTTGTTTATGATTTTGCCCATAGCTATCCTTCATTTTTTGGTGAGCATCTTTCTAGACATAAACACCTCCACAGAGACCCATGTTTACCAAGGGACTGTATTTTATACTATTACAATTTCTTGTATCAATACAAACCTCTCTAAAATACCATTTTGTGTCCCATCCCTTTAAAATTAGTAGAGCCCATAAGTCATTTCCTTTTTATTTTTGTAATTTTGGGGATGATGTATCAGGCAGTTAGTTGAAGAAAAGCTCAAATTATAAATATAATTGGATATTCTCTACTTTAAACACTCTACTTACATCAGTGTTACAATACTCTATCCAAATTATGGTTCTGTATGTTTAGAGAGAGAGAAAAATATGTTTTAGGGGGAATTTTTGGAAAAAAAGAAAAAAAAAAGATGAATTTGTCCTGAGGGGGAAAATCCAGGTAAATGACTATTTTATTAAAGAGAGATATAATATATAAAGCATAGATGGGAGCTGCATATAAATGTAATGAAATTTAAATGTCTTTGTTTTTGTAATCAATTTCCTAAGCTTTCTGACTTCTATTCTCATTACTATGCTATTACATGGTATCGGGGAAGAAGGGGTGAGGCTTTCAAAAGACACAAAAGGAATAGTTCCATGAGCAGCCATCTTAGAATTAAAAATGAACCAGAATAAGCAAGGAATGGTAGTAGTATTTGAGGACCAGTCAAGCTGAGAATAAAAATAAAGGGACAGTCTCCGTGGTGCAGCTCAGTGGGGAAACCCTTCACGGGGCATTCAGTGTTCTAGAAAAGCAAGTAAGAAATAAAAACAAAATGGAGTGTGAGCACTCATATACTGACAGGGCAGGTGAAGGGGCCGTACAGAGTGGAATCTCTAGGGAGGTTTGGCAATCCAACCCCATTTGTTAGTCCCTGTGTGTGATGACTTCAGAAATTCACCAGGACTCTGCAGATGATTTGCATCACAGAATCTGACTCCTGCCAGTCCTCAAGAAATGAAAATGTAGTGAGTTATGTGGTTTTTATTTTGCACTATAAACCAGAACTCTGCTGTTGGCCAAACCAGTCCATTCTCTTTTTGTAAACAGAAGTTAAATGGTGAGTCAAAAATATTCTTGGTTTAGGTCAATGGTTCTTAACCTGTGAGTCATAACACATTTAGTAGTTGCATATTAGATATTTATATTGCAATTCATAACAGTGGGACAATTAGTCATGAAGTAGCAACAAAATAATTTTATAGTTGGGGGCCACTATAACATGAGGAACTGTTTTTTTATATTTTATTTATTTATTTATTATAACCAAGTTCATTTAAATGAAAACAAACATTTATAGACAATATTAGGGAATTTGGGCGTCATTCTTTCCAAACTACTTCCTGCTGGTAAGGGGCACTGTCATGGGGGATTCCAAGAAGATTCAGAAATCCTGGCTGTAGTCTGCAAGGCTGCTTTGTCCAGCTGTTTTGAATGTAGGATCACCTGGTACTCTGTTTCAGGCGGTCTGGCTTGATCAAACCACATTAGTCTGGAAGGAATCCATAGCTTTTCATTTTCTGTGGAAACAAAAATAGAAATCCTTTTCCCCAGTAACTTGTCCTTGCACTTAAATTTTTGAGTCACAGCATTTTTTTAAATTTATTATTTTACGTATTGATCCCAGTTCCCCCTCCCTCCCTCTCTCCCTCCCTCCCTTTTACCCTCTCTGCCCTCTCACATGCACCCTAACCACACTCCCCTCCCATCCCCCACCCCACTTTCATATGTAGGGGAATGCCATCCAGTTGGGGTCAAGTAGGTCTGACAGGTCATGTGAAGTAGGGACTAGGGCTTCTCTCCTGTCTCTAGGTTAAGGCAGTTATCCCTCCATGGGGGATGTGTTAACAAGGTCCTTTTGTGCACCAGGGATACATCCTGGCTCCACTGTCTGAGGTCCCTTTTTTAAATTAATATTATTCTATAATGTGTAGATTGAAAGAAATCAATTTCTATATTTTTTAACTTTCCCACATTTTACCATTAGAACTTTTGTGGTTTTCTTGCAAAAAGCAAACAATTATTAAAAGTTGTTGAAACTTGACTGTGGCTAGTTAAGAAGTATTTGATACTACTGAAGCAAATACATATGTCACTATTTGCTCTTACCCAAGAACAGAATTCTTCCTCCCTTGGGCTGATATCTTTCAGTATTATGTGTTTATTCTTAATGCCTGATGAATGCCACAGAGACAGAACAACTCTTGTTTTGTTTCCAGGAATTCTATACCTTTGGAAGAATATTGGGACAGGGGAGCTTCGGAATGGTCAATGAAGCTACAGACAAGGAAACAGGAGCTAAGTGGGCAATTAAAAAAGTGAATAAAGAGAAGGTAAGGCTCCTCAGTACAGCATCCCCAGTGTACGTGCCAGGGTAAAGTAGGGGTGGGCAGTACAGCTTTCCACACTAACCCAAGTTGTTTATTTTCTTGAGGGCCTAGGCTGGACTTACTGCGGGAGAGATGTGGGGACTGCTCTAGTCTCCTGTGAAGGGCCTAGATCCTGCACTCATGTGCAGTCTGGAAAATGCAAAAACATCAATATAGTCAGTATAACCAAACAAGTAAACTTCACAAGTGAATTTGAAGTCAGAACTGGTGCTCAGTATATGTAGGTGTAGGGCTGTAAGTCTGGATGTCTCAACTGGAAGTAAATTCTGTTGCCCCTCCTGAGTTGTTTGATATGTCTTTCTTCTATTGTCTCCTTTAATTTTCTTTCCTTACTATTGGTCAACCCCCCTCCAATCTAGTCTAATGTACTTGTGTATGTGCTGTACTCCTTCTGTGTTACTTGTTGACAGGGGACTTAGCTTCTCCTTAAGGCAGAATCCAAGATTTCAAACTTTACATCAGCTCATTATCAACTTTAAAAACTTCTGTTTGGATAAAGAAGCAAAATGATACTGTTATGGTGTTTTCTTCTTGGATTTATGGTAACAAGTATTGGATCTATAAAAATTTACATAGTAACTTTTTTGTAATTGTAGCAAATTTCCAAGTTTAATGAGGTGACATATCAACTTTAATAAAGCAACTAAGCACCTTCCTAGCATATTTTGCAATTCTTTTGAACTCTAGGTGGTACATGCCACAGGGCTGCTTGACATGCTGGGTTTTTTTGCTTTTTTGTTGCCAGTTAGGCTTGAAGATTCAGTCTGAGGATTGTATTTGCAACTTTAGGAATTTGTTACTCATATACTGATATACTGATATTGGGAGTACAGTATACTAAAGCACCAAACTAAAACGATACTGTCAACACAGGAACTGGACAGTATATGATTCTAGCCCATACAGGTCAAGCCATTTGGGGGAAAGAGACAGGAACAGAGTTGAGATGAATAGCAGGAGAAATTGTGCTAACTTTCCATATCTGCTCTTCACAGGAATTCACTCCCCATGGTCACTATTTCTCTGAGCTCTAGGCTAAGCTTAAAATGTGCTTTTACCCTCCTTGGGTGGGGTGCAACAGAGTGGTCCATATCCTTCTCATGCAAAGATAGTGAAGGTCCAACAGGAAAGGTAATTGGAAGCAGGAATGGCCCTAGGTTAATTTTTAACTAGAAAATGTTTGCCTTATGATCAGTCTGTTTCTTTAAGAACTATTACACTTTCCCAAATTGGGTCTAAAAATGGTGTGTGCAGAAATAGGTCCTTGTTATCTCTTTCAAGAATATTTTTGAATTGAAAGACAATAACTAAAAACAAGAATATTTATTATAAGATAATGGCAATTTCAGTATCAGGGGAACACCCTAAATTTTTCTAGATGATTAGACAATCTTATATACATCTGAAAGACGTCCATGAGTTCCCTGAAGATCTCTTCATATTACCCTTTGTCCCAAGCATGGTAAGGATTAGATATTAGGACACACAGGAGCTGTTGAGCTAGTCTGAAGCAAGCTAGTCTCTCTATCTCCTCAGTTAATCAGAGACTAGAAAGTAACATATACAAGGATAAAAACAAGATCCCATTGCCTAGTGTGTGTGTGAATGAAAATATAATATGTCATATGCATATATTGTATAATATATTATTTATTCTGTATATCATGCATATAAACAAAATCAAAACATGACATGAAAAGAACTTTTCTGTTATGAAGCCCTCTCTGATTGATATCCCTAGATGATTTTGTCTTTGTTATGCTAATGCAAAAGGATCACTGCAATTGAAGGGAATATTAAAAAGACATATTAAAATTTTGAGGGGTCAAAGGCCGTGTTGTAGCTAGCAGTTGTAGAAACAGTTCAAGAGATTGATTGAATTCAAATGAAATACAACTTAAAATTGGACAAGGGAAAGAAGGGGCATAATTTGATCTGATTATGGGATAAACTGCTTGTTATCATTTGAGAAAGACACTATTCAAAACTGTAGGAAAAGATGTAAAATACCTATCTTTCATACTGAGAAAGAAGGAGTGATATTGCCATATGCAATCTGTTTCTTCGTTGATTAAGGCTGGAAGCTCTGCAGTGAAGTTACTTGAGCGGGAGGTGAACATCCTAAAGAGTGTCAAACACAAGCACATCATCCATCTGGAGCAAGTGTTTGAGACACCTAAGGTAAAGTTCCCCCAGGTGCTACAGTTTGAAGGTTGTTATTATCACAAAATGAATATTATTCCTTTCCGAAGTGGCCCTCTGGGGTGCAGTTGCTCATGTCCTTGGCAAAGCCTGTCAACAGAGATTGATGGGAACATTCTCAAGGACTTTTATTATTGATTGTATAATTAGGTGCACAATGATTAGATTGATGTCTTTAGTTACATGTTGTGGGTGACATGTTAGAAACAAATGTTTAAGATTAGAATAGTTTCATGCAAAACAAATAGTGAGTCGAGCTTCCTCCTAGATGGCATCCTTTTACATTTGCTCTTACTCTCTCTACTAGAGACCATTTGATTATTGTCAGGATATGGTAAGGTTATCTACATGATCAAATTGAAGAAGTTTACTTGTCATGGTGTAGAAAATACTTTTAAAAAATTCTCTCATCCATTATATCCAGTGTGCAGTTCCCACCTCCCCTCAGTTGCCCTGCCCCTCTCTCCCAGATCCACTCCTCTTGTTTCCCTTCAGAAAAGAGCAGGCCTCCCAGAGATACCAACCAAACAGGGAATAACAAGTTCTTTTATCTTTGTCTTTTCCAGCGTGTTTTGTCTCCTTTCTTTCCTAGATATTATCATTCTCTAATCTTAACTGTAGGGTTTTTTCTTTTCCAGTTAACTTGGGATCATTTGCACTACCTGGAAGCAATACTCTATGTGGTTAGGCATGTGGACAGATGGTCTGTTTCTTTAAATCCTGATTCTGCCACTTTTTAGCTGTGAGAACATGGCCAAGTTATTCAACTTCTCCCTGTGTAAGTGTCTCACCTGTGAAGTGCTGACTCGTCTGGTTGTTGAAGGATTAAAGATTAATGGGACTGTGGGCATAATGCATCAGTCTCATCAGATGTCAGCTATTGTTCTTCATTTTTTTCTGCCAAACTCAGAATTACATACTAATAATCAATTTGGGTTATGCATTGCACTTTATTAGCTGAAAGTGCTTGGCAACAGGACCGAAGCTGTCTTCTTTTCTTTTAGGTGGTCCTGAATGTCAGACCCCTGGCCTTGTGCATGTTAAGTGATGTCCTACTTCTACCACCAAGCTATACCTCCATCCTGAATTGTGATTTCTTTTATCCCCAAATATTCTTTAAACAACTCTCTTCTTTGTCATCAGCTTTAAAGAAATTATTTATGTGTATGAATTTTTGTCTGTATGTATGTCTGTTTTCCTTTTTGCTTGCCTTGTGCTCATGGAGGTCAGAAGAGGGCTACAGCTTGTCTGGATCTGGGGTGGATAGCACCACATGGATGCTAGAAATAGAAGCCAGTCTTCTGCAATCGTAACAAGTGCTCTTAACCATAGAACCAGCTTTCCAGCCTCTTTATCATTAGTTTTAGGCAGTTGGATTTCAATGACTATTGATAAAGTTCTCTTTATGTTTCTTGTTCTTGGGATTCATAGAACTTTTTTGGGTATGTGAATTTGATTTTCATCTGATTTAGAAAAATTTTAGTAATTTTTTTTCTATTTTCTTCCCCTACTTTGAAGGACTTGGTATATATGCCAGATGACCTGATACACTGCTATTTTGCTCATTTTCCAGCATTTTCTGTGTTCAATCTGTGTAATTTGTATTTTACCATGACTTCAGATTCACTAATTTTTTTTTTATAACATCTACTGTTTTACCATCTCACCCAGTGGAAATTCAAATTTCTTCATGTGTATATTCAACATTTAACCTTATCATACTCAGTTTTTCCACACTTCATGTATATAGTGATAAGAACTAAAGTCCTTTTCCTACTAATTGTATTGTGTACATCATTGTTCAGTTTTGATGGGACTTTCTTCCTTCATTCTGGGTTATATTTTCTTACTATGTACACCTGTTACTTATATATTTATTTTCCTATTTTTGTCTTTTAATACAAGGTCTGACTATGTAGGCCAGGGTAGTCCAGAAATTCTTACATAACCAGGCTGGCCTAGAACTTGTGAACCTTCCTCCTCAGCATTTGAGTGCAAGAATTTCAGGTGTATACTACCAAGCCTGGTTGTCAACTAATTTTAATTAGATGCCAGATATTGTAAAAATTACCATTTTGTGTGCTAGATTTTTAGGAGAGATTATATGGTCTTACTAGATAACCCTGAAATTAGTGAGTCTTCTGCCTCAGCTTCCAGTGGCTGGGATTGCAGGCATGTGCCACCACTTCTGGCTCTAGTGATGATTCTTGGACTTTGTTTTATAACATAGTGAGTCATGTAGAGACAGTTCAGTGCCATTGGGGCTTGATTTGTCCTTTGTGAGGGGCAACAGAGTGTCCTCTGTAGGGCTAGTTGTCCCCTTCTACTGAGGTGTGGCCTCTGAGTATTCATACCCGCTAATGTTACATGAGTTATGGGATTTCTTTCTCTGGCTAATGGGAACACAGCATTCCTGACCCACGTGAGCACCAGTGACTGCCCTTCTCTGGCCTTTCACATGGTTACCACATGGTTAGTTCCCAGTTTGGGGACAATGCACATACTGATTAATACTCTGCTGAAGATTTGAGAAAGAATCTCTCTCTCCTCCCTCTTCTCTTTCTCTCTCTCCTCACCCCCTCCCTTTCCCCTCTCTCCCCCTCTCTGTCTGTGTATGTACAGATTTCCCCCACTTTGACATTCTTCCTTGGTAACTTTAATTGTCTTGGCTTTTCTGGACTCTCATCTCCTGAATTCATGAAGGCTCCTGGACCTGCAAGTTTTCCAAAGAATATTCCTGTAGGTTGCACACTTGACCTTGGCAGTTTGAGCAACTTCATCCCCTTGCATCATTGCTGCTGCTCTCTGTAGGCTCTGTGCTGCCACCTAATTCCATAGATACTCTTCATACCTGTGCTGTAGTTATGCACAACTGTTTCTAAGAACTGTAAGACTTGAGTAATACACTATATCATTATAACTTTGATCAACACACATTTAACATTAAAAATAGATTTTATTTTATGTGGCTGTATACCACCCACATGCAGCACCCTCAGAGTCCAGAAGAGGGCAATGGATTCCTTTGGAACTGGAGTTACAGATGCCTGTGAGCTGTCATATGGGTGCTGGGAATGGAACCTGTCTTCTTCACAACAGTGCTCTTCACAGTGCTCTTCACAACAGACATCTGTCCAGTCCCTTGTGCATTTTATAAATTGGCATCAATTTATATTGTAATTACTGCTAATGCAACTTTTCCTTCCAAATAGTTCACTTTCCAGTCCATGTTCCTAGCCATCCTGTAGTGCTGTCAATGACGAAAGTATGGCCCAGTTCAAAGGCTTATTTGTCAGATGTTTCAGACACTTCAAAATCATAAAGCAGCCCGAAATTCATTGAATCAGAATTGTGGCTCTAGGAAGAAAGATACTTACCTCTCTCCCTGCTTTAATCACACTGTCTCAACGTAGATGTTGGATTAACAGCTGTTACAAGAACAGCATCAGACACCGCCCCCCCAATCTTCAGAACAGCAAAACTCTAGAATATATGTTAGAATGGAAACATGGAGGGTAATTATGTCTGATGGCCGTGCCTTTGGAAAAGTCTGCCTTTTAGTTGAATAGAAATCTTTGACTCAGTAAGTGGCCTTACTGTAGAATGTCTAAATACATCTTAATAAAGAAATGACAGACACAGAGAGGCATTTCATCTTTGCTTCTTGGTCACTGAGTTCCATTGTCTCATCTTTGGTATTTCCATGTGTTTTTCTTTTCTCCTGTGATGGTTAATATTATAAGCTTGATAGAGTATAGAACCATCTTGGAGACAAACCTCTGGGCACACTTGTGAGGTATTATTTACATTAAGTGAGCCTTTGGTCATGCCTATGAGGGTCCCAGACCAAATAAAAAGGAGAAAGTGGGGGCTAGTGATAATGTTCAGTGGGCTAGGGTTCTTGCTTCCAAGCCTACTGACGTGAGTTTGATCTACAGTATAGAAGAGAACCTATGAGTTGTGCTTTATCTCTAAAGGTATGCTGGGGCATACAGGAACGCACACACACACACACACAGACAGACAGACAGACAATTAAATCAATTAAAGGAGAAAGTAAGCTGAGCACTAGCACTCACTTTTCTCTGTTTCTTGATTGGATACAGTGTGGTCAGCCACCTTGTACTTCTGCTGTGGCCAGTCAGTCAGTGGCTTTCCCATCATAATAGACTGTACCTTGAACTGTGAGCTACAATATACACTTTCTCCTTTAAGTTACCCTTGTCAGGAAAGTTTATTACAACAGTAAAACCAAGAAATCGCCCCCTTTCTTGTGTTTAGCCCATGTCTCACAGGTCCCCCTGTTAACACAGGCAACCTATGAAGTCAGTCTTTCTTGCTGCCTGCCTTTATAGGGCCCATGAGATAAGTTCTCTACATTTCCCAATAAATGACAAAATGTAAAAGAATAATGTTTCACCAAACTCAGTTTTCTGAGTCTGTAAATATAGCATTGTGTTGCTTATGGCTGATCTCAAGGCAGTTGCTGTGTTATGCTATTATTAAAGAGACCATGTTGTCCACAGAGATCCATAATGGTTACTCTTGGGTTTGGTCTTTATAGAAAAATTTTTGCTGAGCTCTGCTATACATTACTGTTGAAGTGTTGACTTAGAAATGCAAAATTGACACCATACAACTTTTACCTCAAGACTCTGGCTTCAACATCTCCAATGCCTTGTTTCATATGTGGCTTGGGGAATCCATAGTCTTGAGCATGCTATTCAAGGCTCTTTGCAAACTTGTTCCAACATTTACTGTTAGCTTCACCCTTTGCTATCTTCTTTTCCACCCTATAGCCCCCAGTACTGTTAACAGAGATCTCTGGGTTATTTTAATAGCTGTTTTGTTCAGGCTCTAGGGGATTTATATATTGACCATCAGATCTGCCTGATTTCTCTCCACCTTTTCTGCCCAGAAATTACTGCTCACACATTCAGTCTTAATTCTTCTTGGTGAGTATTCTTTATGCAGAGGCAGCCTCTTCCACAGCCCCACAGCATGTTGGACTGTTATGCATATCACATGATACTGTAACTGTTGAATTTCCCCTTGTATTCAGTATATGTGGCTTGTTCCCCTTGTATTCAGTATAATAGCTTGTATATAACATGTAAGACATTTTTACATGAATAAGGTGATATTGTGATCATAGTTGTGGTGTATAACACATAACCTTGTAACTTTCTTATATTCTGACTTTTAAATCTGTAATGTCAGCAAATGTACCTTGTGATGGAGCTTTGTGAGGATGGAGAACTCAAAGAAGTTCTGGATAAAAAAGGGCATTTCTCAGAGAATGAGACAAGGTTGATAATTCAAAGTCTTGCATCAGCCATTGCATATCTTCATAACAAAGGTAAGACGAGGACTGTGCACCTCACCATCTGCATAAATGAAGACATCACTGTTATTTAAGTTGGATGGTCTTTAGGACTCATAATCACATTGGTAGAACTTGGTAATGTAATTGGATAACAAGTACATTTCCATATTTTTCCATTTAATTGTATTTATAGACATTTTAGTGACAATACAGGTGTATAAATACACTTTATATGGGAGAGCAAACAGTCCTGACCATCCTTATTCTAGAAGTTTAAAATGTGGCTAATATCATCAAAATCAAAGTAGATAAAGTGAATTTTCCTAAAATATTTGTATATTAATATCATTAAAAATGAAATGTACATGTTCTAGCCCCATGAAATAGTACATTTCAGTCTTAGAGCAGTTTGGGTTAAAACAGAAGGAACAGAAGTTCACAGTGTACACCTCGGTGCCACATGTGCAGAGTGGTTCACATTATGTTCCCCTAAGCCCTGTAGTTTACATTAGGATTCATTATTGGTACTTTTTTTTTTCACTTTTTGATTTCATTTTACATTCTAACCACAGTTCTCCCTCCCACCCCTTCTCCCACTCCTCACCTACTTTACCTCCCCTCACGTCCAGGACTACCCCACCCCCAGTCCACTTATCCTTACAGGTAAGGGCTCCCATGAGGAGTCAACATAGTCTGGCCCAATAGGTTGGGCAGGGTCAGGCCCCTCTCCCATGTGTTAAGAATGAGCATGGCATCCCACCTTGGTGAATGGGCTCTAACAAGCTAGCTCATGTACTGTGATTATATTGTGGTCCTACTGCCACTGAGCATGGCATCCCACCTTAAGGAATGAGTTACACATTGTTGGTATTTTTTGTTCTATTGGTTTTGACAAATGTGTAGTAACGTTACTTATTAAGATATGATTTGGAGGTCAGCGGGAGGCCTGAGCTTCAGGCCTGGAGCAGCTTTAGTGGGAGGCCAGAATCCCAGCCTGGAAGAAACATCACTGAACCACCAACACAAAAGCAGCATCAGAGGGAGGCCTGAGCCACAGGCCCTGGAGGGGGTCAGAGGGAGCCACAAGCCTACCAAGGAGCAGTGTCAGAGGAAGGTCCAAGCTTCAGCCCCAGGAATGAGGAGCATCAACTTGATGAGATAACAGCAGCAATTTTCAGCAGTGGCTTCCAGAAATAATCACAAGAAGTTTCTCGGGGAAAGTGTCCCAGTTATTTCTCAGTTGGAGATAACCTGATGCTACATCAATCACTGGATCCTCAACCCCATCTACACCTCCAATGGGAGGAGCATCCATTAGTATGGTAGCCCCACCTGCACCTCTTAGGCCCACTTCCACCAGGAGGAGCATTCACCAGAATCTCTGCTCTGCTTGTGCAGAGGAGTGAACAACGCCAGGAGTGAACAACAGAGCCACAGCTCCCAACTATACCAATTGGAGAAAGAGAGACCCCTGAAGTACAAGCTCCACCTATACCTTTTAGAGGAAAAGATGCATATACAAGGTAAGAACACACTCAACAATATAAAGAGCAATATGATACAACTAGAAACTAATAGTGCTACAACAGCAAGACCGGAACAGATTAAGTAGAAGAAAATGACCTAAAAATAAATTTATGAGGATGATTGAGGCCCTTAAAGAGGAAATGAAAAATTCCCTTAAAGAAAAAAAAAGCCACCAAGATAAAACAATCAAGAAGTGAAGAACATGATTTAAGTCTTGAAATCTGAAATAGAGGCAATAAAGAAAACATAAATTGAGGGAATCCTGGAAATGGAATGGAAAAATCTGGGTAAATGATTAAGAATCACAAATTGAAGTATAAACAACAGAATATGAGATGGAAGAATCTCAGGCATTGAAGAGACAATAGAGGAAATAGAAAAATTTTAAATCCAACTAAATTTAACACAAAACATGATGGAAATCTGGGACACCATGGAAGACCTAACCTAAGAATAATAGAAGAAGGAGAAGAAGTCCAATTCAAAGGCACAAAAAATATATTCAACAAAATCATAGAAGAAAACTTTCCCAACCTAAAGAAGGACATGCCTATGAAAATACAAGAGGCTTACAGAACACCAAATAGATTGGACAAAAAAAAAAAAAAAAAAAAAAAAGAAAGAAAGAAAGAAAAAAGTTCCCTTACCACATAATAATCAAAACAATAAACATACAGAATAAAGAAAGAATATTAAGAGCTGAAAAGGAGAAAGGCCAGGTAACATATAAAGGCAGACCTATCAGAATTACACCTGACTTCTCAATGGAAACATTGAAAGCCAGAAGGCCCTGGTCAGAGGTTATGTAGACATTAAGGGACCATGGATGCCACCCCAGACTACTTTACCCAGCAAAGCTTTTAATCTCCATTGATGGATAAAACAAGATATTCCATGATAAAACCAAATTTAAACAATACCTATCCACAACCTAGCCCTCTAGAAAGTACTAGAAGTCACCTGCATGCACAAGAACACAGACAATAAATAAGCCTACAGCAGCAAATTCCAAAGAATGGAACTGAACACACAATGCCATCACCAACAACAAAAACAAAAATAACAGGAACTAGCAATCACTGGTCATTAATATCCACTAGTATAAATGGTCTCAATTGACCTATAAAAAGACACAGGCTAATAGACTGGATATGAAAACAGGATCCATCCTCCTGATGCATACAAGAAACATACCTCAAACTCAAAGACAGACATTACCTCAGAGTAAAGGGTTGGGAAAATATTTTCCAATCAAATGGACCTAAGAAACAAGTTTGTGTATATATCCTAATATCTATCAAAATAGACTTCAAACTAAAATGAATCAAAAAAGATAAAGAAGTTCATTTCATATTCATCACAGGAAAAATCCTCAAGAGGAAATCTCAATTCTGAACATCTATGCCCTAAACACAAGAGCTTCTATATTTGTAAAAGAAACATTACTAAAGCTTAAATCACAAATCAAGCCCCCCACACAAATAGTGGAAGAATTTAACACCCTACTCTTCAACAGACCATTGGACAGGTCTGCCAGACAGACACTTAACAGAGAAATAAGGGAACTATCAGATAGTATAACTCAAATGGACTTAACAGACATCTATAGAACATTCCACCCAAACACAAAAGAATATATTTTCTTTTTAGCACTTCATGGAAACCTTCTCAAAAATCGACCACATACTCTGTAACAAAGCAAACCTCAGCAGATAGAAAAAAAAATTTGGAATAAACTCCTGTACCCTATCTGATCACCACAGTTTAAAGTTAGAATTCAGTAGCAACATTAATTTCAGAAAGCCCACAAATACATGGAAATTGAACAGTGATCAACTGAACCACCACGGGGTAAAGGAAGAAATAAAGAAAGAAATAAAAGGCTTCCTAAAATTTAATGGAAATGACCACATAACAAACCCAAACTTATGGTACACAGTGAAAGCAGTGCTAAGAGGGAAATTCATAACACTAAATGCCTACCTAAAGAAGCTGGAAAAATTCCAACCTAGTGAATTAACAGAACAACTGAAAGTGCTAGAACAAAAAAAAAGACAAACTCACCCAGAAAGGGTAGACAGCAAAAAATAGTCAAATGGAAAGCTGAAATCAATGAAATAGAAACAAAGAAAACAATGCAAAGAATCAATGAAACAATTCAACAAAATAGACAAACCTTTATGCAAAATAATCAAAAGTCAGAGAGAGAAAATATCCAAACTAACAAAATCAGAAATGAAAAGGGGGTCATAACAGACACTGCGGAAATCCAGAGAACCATCAAGTTATACTTTAAAAACCTGTACTCCACAAAATTGGAAAACTTTAAGGAGATGGACAATTTTCAAGATAAGTACACATACCAAAATTAAATCAAGAACAGATAAACAACTTAAATATACCTATATAACCCTTAAGGAAATAGAAGCAGTCATCAATAGTCTCCCAACCAAAAACAAAAACAAACCAAAAACAAAAACACAGGCCCAGATGGTTTCAGTGCATTCTACCAGATATTCAAAGAAGAGCTAATATCAATACTCCTCAAATTATTCCACACAATAGAAACAGAAGAAACATAGCCAAACTCTTTTTATGAGGCTACAGATACCCTGATACCTAAACCATACAATGATACTACAAAGATAGAGAATTGCAGACCAATTTCTCTCATGAACATAGATGCAAAAATATTCAAAACTACTGGCAAATTGAATCCAAGAACACATTAGAAAAATCATCTACCATGACCAAGTAGGATTCACCTCAGAGATGGAAGGATGGTTCAACATACAAAATTCCATCAATGTAATCTGTCATATAAACAAAGTGAAAGAAAAAAAAAAACATGATCATCTCATTAGATGCTGAAAAGGCCTTTGCCAAAGTTCAACACCCCTTCATGATAAAGGTCTTGCAGAGAACAGGTATACAAAGGACATACCTAAATATAATAAAGACAATGCACAGCAACCCAACAGCCAACACCAAACTAAATAGAAACTCAAAGTAATCCCACTGAAATCAGGAACAAAACAAGGCTGTCTACTCTCTCCATATCTATTCAACATAGTACTTGAAGTTTTAGCTAGAGCAATAAGATAACAAAGGGAGATCAAGGGGATACAAATTGGAAAAGAAGTCAAATTCTTGCTATTTGCTGATAATATGATAGTTTACATAAGTGGTCCCAAAAATTCTACCAGAGAACTCTTATAACTGATAAACACCTTCAATAATGTAGTAGGATACAAGATTGATTAAAAACATCAGTAGCCTTCCTAATACAGATGATAAACAGGCCGAGAAAGAAATCAGAGAAACATCTCCCTTTACAATGGCCACAAATATCATAAAATATCTTGGGGGTAACTCTAACCAAACAAGTGGAAAACCTGTATGACAAGAACTTCAAATCTTTAAAGAAAGAAATTAAAGAATATATCAGAAAATGAAAAGATTTCCCGTGCTCTTGGATAGGTAGGGTCAACACAATAAAAATTAACAATTCTACCAAAAGCAATCTGCAGATTCAATGCAAGCCCTATCAAAATTCCAGCACAATTCTTGACAGACCTTGAAAGAACAATACTCAACTTCATATGGAAAAACAAAAAACCCAGTATAGCCTAAACTATTCTGTACAATAAGTGATCATCTGGAGGCATCACCATCTTTGACTTCAAGCTCTGCTGTAGAGCTATAGTAATGAAAACAGCTTGATATTAGCACAAAACCAAACAGGTGAACCAATGGAATTGAATCAAAGATCCTGATATCAACCTATATACCTATGAACATCTAATTTTTGAAAAAGAAGCTAAAAATATAAAATGGTGAAAAAAGCATATTCAACAAATGGTGCTGGTATAATTGGCTCTCAACATGTCAAAGAATGCAAATAGATCCATATCTATCACCATGCACAAAACCAAAGTCCTAATGGATCAAAGACCTCAATATAAATCCATCCACACTGAACATCATAGAAGAGAAAGTGGAAAATACACTTGAACATATATGTACAGGAGACTTACTAAACATAACACCAGTAACACAGACACTGAGAGCAACAATTAATAAATGGGACCTCCTAAAACCAAGAAGCTTCTGTAAAGCAAAGAACATTGTCAACAAGACAAAACAGCTCCCTACAGAATGGGAAAAGATCTTCACAATTCCCACACCTGACTGAGGGTGGATCTCCAAAATATACAAAGAACTCAAGAAACTACACATCAAACTACCAAAGAATCTAATTAAAAATGGAGTACAGATCTAAACAGAAAATTCTCAACAGAACAATTTCAAATGGCCAAGAGACACTTAAGGAAATGCTCAACATCTGTACTCATTAAGGAAACGTGAATCAAAAGCACTCTGAAATTCTATCTTACACTTATCTGAATGGCTAAGATCAAAAACACCAATGACAGCTTATGCTGGATAGGATGTGGAGAAAGGGGAACACTCCTCCACTGCTAGTAGGAGTCCAAGCTTATACAGTCACTGTGGAAATCAGTATGGCAATTTCTCTGAAAATTAGGGATCAAGTTACCTCAAGACTCTGCAATACCACTTTTGGGCATATACCCAAAGAGGCACATTCATACCACAAGGACATTTGCTCAACTGTTAGGAGCATGTTTTCCCACCAGCCTGGGCACACCCACGGCAACCCCAAAGAACACACAGAGACTCTATATTCGATACAATGCTGTTGGTCTGTTACTAGTTTCTTATCTTATTGGCTATCTGTCTTAAATATTAACCCATTTCTATTAATCTAAGTATTTCCACGTGGTCTTATTTTACTGGCGAGAGGGCCCGGAGTTCTACCCTGTTGGTCCTATATCTTGAAACTCTTTCCTACCACTTCCTGAATCCTCCTTGTCTCCTAGTTCCACCTGTCTTACTTTCCTATTGACAAACAATGCTTTATTCATTAACCAAAAAGAGAAACATATTTACAGAATGACATCTCCCATCACTCAACTATGTTCATAGCAACAGTATTCATAATAACCAGATCTTGGAAACAAGATGCCCCTCAACTGAAGAATGGCTAAAGAAAATGTGGTATGTTTACACAATGGAGCACTACTCAGCAGTAAGAAACAATGACAGCCTAAAATTTGCAGGCAAATGGTCAGAACTAGAAAAAAAAATATCCTGAATGAGGTAACCCCAAGCCAGAAAGACAAATACAGTATGTACTCATCAGTGGATACCAGGTGTAAAGCAAAAGATACCCAGCCTACAATCCATAACACCAGAGAAGCTAGAACCCTCTTACAGAAACAGAGGGAAGCAGATGCAGAAATTCACAACTAACCAATGGGCCAAGCTCCTGGAGTACAATCGAAGTGAGGGAGGAGCAAAAATATGGACAAAGGAGTCAAGACCATGATGGGGAAACCCACAGAACTGGCTGACCTGAGCTAGTGAGAGATCACTGACTCCGGTCTGACAGATGGGGAACTTGCATAAGACTGAACTAGACTCCCTTAATATAGGTGACAATGGTGCTATTGGGACAATATATGAGGCCATTGGTAGTGGGTCCAAGATCTAACTCTAACACACAGACAGACTTAGTTGAGCCCATTCTATATGGAGTGATACCTTGCCTGGCCTAGACACAGGGGTGGGGGTGAGGAGGTGCCTTGGTCCTGCCTCAGTGAGATAATGGGACAGACTTAGTAGACTTCCTCTTCAAGGAGCAGATGGGAGGTGGAGGGGCTAGTGGGAGGAGCTGAAGGAGAGAGGAAGGAAGGGGAACCAGGATCAAAATGTAAAATATAATTAATAAAAATAAGACCACACAAGAAGAAGAAAAAGAAGGAAGAGACGGAGGAGGAAGAGGAGGAGGAAGAGGAGGAGGAGGAGGAGGAGGAGAAGAAGACGACATTTGGAGTAATTTACCAATGCTTTAAAAAATGTCTAAAAAGAACTCTGCTTATTCTAATAGCTTTAACTGACTCCAGTTTTAGTGCTGTCTCTTTGTTCCATGCTCCCCTTTCCTTTGATGTTATTAGGAGTGACTTTAGAACATCCTCATTTTATAGGTGAGAAAGTACTTGTTTGCAAAGGTCAGTGACAGGCTTTGGGATCTCAGTTTCATCCGTACCTACTGTATGTGTTCAGCCCTAGAGTTACAAAGATGAAAAAAATTAAGACCCCTGCTCCTCAAGTGGCTTAGGCTAGTAGGAGATGGAGTACAGAAAACAGCTTGTAATCCAGTGTGGAGAGTTGTGTGAAGTGCAGGGAGCTTAACCGGGTGTCAGAATTAGTTCTAGGAACACAGGCCCAGACAAGAGAAGGATTTCAGTGAGGAAAGGCTTGCAGAGGCTGAATGCCATGCTTGTCTCTGTTCTCCCTTGTCAAGTGATATTTTTTTTCAGTATATTTCTATATTATCTTAACAGCATTTTTTGGGGGTGAGATTTTAAAAATTATTCTAAAAAGGATGAGAATATCGAAGATAAAAATGTGGGCTATTAGGGAGATTTGCTCCCACCAAAGATAAAAACATCACAAAATATGTTAATTAAAGTGGAATGGTATTTATGTAAGTAGAGACAGGTGGAGTAACAGAATCAGGAAGAATTCCAAAGACAAAGCCTGGGGGATATTTAAGAATTGTAAGTGATTAGGTACAACTGCCAGTCTGGGTCTAGTTGAGATGCATTTCCCTAGAAGTTATACATTTAACTTTCTACAGCTCTGGAAGTGTTTGCTGTGGATGTGAACTCAGTTATTTGCAGAGGAGTGTTTGGTACATTATTTGGATGTACACAGGAATCTTACCTCAGATCTGACCTGTTTAAACATAGGTTTGTATCCCAAGAGTTGTGGGTTTTATTTCAACATATGAACAGTATGAAAATGTATACTGATATTTTAGAACACACTGAAATACAGTGTATGCATGTGTGGCCAACTTACAATGTGTTAAAATGTTTATGTTGACAGTAATGTTATAACAGAAACAAAATTCCTGTTTAGAGGCCCAAGGATACAGAAAACCTTAGCTGGCCTATGTTGTGACCCAGGCTGCCTTTGTGCTCCTGGAAATGTGTATCCTCAAATAGATCCCCTTCCACACTCACCAGGCTGAGATGTTAGTTTGTCACAACAGGGAACATACAGAGATGAGAAAATAGCTTCTGATAGAAATGTAGAGAAGAGGGGTGTAAGTAAAAACAGAACAGGGAAAATTGTACTTGGCCTCTCCTCATACTTTATCTGTCCTGTTTCTGTCCTCATTGTCTTTCTGATATTTGCTTTGCTTGTCTATTTTCCTGGTAGATATAGTGCACAGAGATCTGAAGCTGGAAAACATAATGGTTAAAAGCAGCTTTATGGATGATAACAATGAAATGAACTTAAACATAAAGGTAAGAGCCTAGAACTACTACTCATGATTTCTCAGAAAACATCCAGCAACAATGAAGCTAAAGACATCTTGGACACACTTTGTTGACTTTCGAATCCAAGCCATTTATGCTAAGGAGTAAAAAATTCACAAAAGAAGTTGTAACTGATAAAAATAATTTTACAAGCTAAGTGATGCTACTGATTGTGTTTTTCAAAGTGCATATTCTTTTGGATGGTTCTAAATCATTAGTTAATAGCAAGCAAACAGATGCTCTGAATTCTAATTAATTTCAAAATTATGTCTGGTAATTTGATGTAAATGTGTTACAGATTTAGAGAAAAACACACCTTGGCTGTGCTTTTGATACTAAATTAATGCTACAGTCTGTATTTCTCATTGAAATTTTTCCTGGGTATTAATATTTATGTCTTAACCACAATTAATGTGCCAAGTGTTTATTCTTGAAGATTTTATTCAAATTAAGCGTTCCGTAATGTCAAATAAATGATAGAATACATTATTTATTACTTAGCACTTTAATAGTGGCTGCTTTCAAAATGTGTGCAAGTGTTAACTTTAGAATCAAATGTGTCTGTAAGTTGCCATTGCAGAAGCTAAATCCATATGCAGTAGAAACAGACTCAGCAACACTGCTGACAACCTTTGGTGACTGTTCTTCATAGTCCATTGTAACCTCCATGCAGGCAGGAACTTCAGCCATTTTGTTCTTTGTTGGAATGTGGAGAAAAGCCTGAGACAACATGCTCAGTTAACCTCTTGTGAACAAGACACTCTGCTCTCCAAATAGTGGAACTGGATTATGAAGGCTTTAGTATGTTTTGTGTCTGCATAGATGTTGTGTGGAAAAAGGTAGATTTAAGTTCCAAGTCCTGGAGTAATTGATTCAAGGCATGCTGATGCACACTTGTATTCCCAGCACAGGAGGTGCTGAAGCAGGATTGCCATGCGTTTAAGGCAAGCCTGGCTACATAGTGTGTTTTAGATTGGCCTGGACTGCAGAGTGAAACCCTATATAAAAGAAAAAGAGATGGATTTGGTAATTTTACATGTTAATTAGGAACATTTCCTTGCACTTTGTAAGGTACTGACAATTTGCATGTAGTGTGAACAAAGAACCTATGCTTTGCTTGTATGATCCATAAATGTGCCTTTGTGTCTGCTTTGGGTCCAAGGGCATTCCACTTTGATAGACAACCAAAGGGTACATGCCAAATACTCACTATCTGAAGGTGTAGTTACCAAGACTTAGAGTGGGGCAGGAGACTGAAGTTGCAACAAAGGCCTTCAGGCCCTCTGTGACCAGGCCATGTTGGTGTGGGCCTTTTTATCTTTGCCAATTTGTTTCATTTTAAGTAGTGTAGCAATTGTAGTATACTCGATACTCACAAAGGACATGATAATAATAGTAATGGAAAACAAGTTATACATGTTAAAAAAGAGTCTTAGTAAGTGTTGATAATGATAACTATTTTTATTTAAACAGTGCTTTTGCTGGACCATAACTCCAGCAACAGAAAAATAGATAACACATCCAAGGCTAGGCTGTATTTTGCAATGAAAGAACTTATAAAAAATCTTTACTAAGAAGAATTAACAAAAGGCATGAACAGTTTACATCCTGGGTTCTTGTTACCAAGTTTCTCTGCACCCAGATTGGGTGGGAAGAGAAGGAAGGTCAAGTCTTTATTAGTAATACAGGGAAAAGCCTGTCCCCAGCTAGTGAGGATTAAATGCAGCTACAGTGTATGGAAGTCACTGAGTGACTGAGTTGTGTATCTGCTCTCAGGTGACTGATTTTGGCTTGGCGGTCAAGAAGCATGGCTCCAGGAGTGAAGGCATGATGCAGACCACGTGTGGCACTCCTATCTATATGGGTAAGTGAGAAGACTTGAAAAAGGTAGAACTCTGAAAAGGGTGGTAAGCCGGTACCTATGACCTCAGCATTTGGGAGGCTGAGACAAAAGGATTGCCATAATCTGCACAGTGAGCTCTAATTTATAAAATCACCATGCCAATGAGACCACAGCACTTCTGTTACCCTGTCTTCCTCTACCAATTCCTCTCTTGTGTCCCAGTAATTACCAGTGGTTTCTATCACTAAATTCAGTCGTGCTTGTATCATAGTGTGCACTTATTCGTGTTTCTGTTCCACAGAACTGTTATGCTATTTTATGCATGTTGTTGTACCAGTAGTTTATCTGTTTTTATTGCTGAAAAGTATACTTTATTCATTGCTTTTTTTTTCTTTTTTTTTTTTTTTTTTTTTTTGCCTACTTGACACATAAAGTTTTTAAATTGTTTTATCTTACTTGGGAAAAGGCTACTTTAGATTCTGTTCATATCCTTCCATTGGCAAAAGACATCTGGTCTTAGTTACATGGGGAAAATATATCCAAGCACCCTGAGTTTTATGCCTGCTTATTAGTTGTCTACACTGATAACAAGTGAGAGAACAAGAGGGAAGACAGATGGTTTGTGGAGCTTTGCTGACTTCCTAAATGGCTCCTTGGCACAGATATTCTGGCTTCTGCCTCCCTGAGGGCTGGGATAACAGTGCAGGCAGAAATGCCCCTGATAATTAGGGAGACTGAAAAAGTGGAGGCCAGGGGTTTTAGTGCCTGCTGTGTGTGGCACAGCCGTAAGGCAGCCTGCACTGAGTCTGGCCTCAGAATTTGCTTTCATGACAGACACATCGCCATGGAACAACTTGCACTTTGCTGGTTATATATTTAAAGTTTTACATGCAGTTAAAGATTGCAAACACACACAATAATTGCAAAAAGAGGAATGCTGTAAATTTTTAATTATTTGGAGACAAAGTATCCAATTTGTGAGCTATGGTAGTTTGGCCTTTTCTCATTTTCCTATGTATCTTTTGGCTTCTTTTTGTTGTTTTCCATTTCTCTAATATAGAGAGTGGGGAAAATAAAAAACTATTTGTTTTTAGCAGTTGCTATAGAAGAGTGTGTATGTGTGTGCACATGCATGCATGAGCTCAAGTGTGTGCACTCACATGTGAGCGCATACATGTACAGGGTCAGTGTGTTAGTTGAGAAAACTAGGAATGCTTTCTCGATAAGCACACAGCTTTTCCATAGGAAACGCTCCAGAGTTTGTAACTGCAGTCAGATCTCCATGGTTTCCACCTCCATGGACAGGGCATCAAGTGCCTTCATGACAGGCTCATAGGATTCTGAACACAACTTATTATTCAAAATCACTTTGTAAATTTTAAAGTTCTTTTGAAATCTATATATGCATCTTATTTTTGTGTCTGTGACTGTTTTCTTTAAAGAAATATATCTATGTGTGTAAAATCAAAGTAGAGCTATTCCTTGCTATCATATTGACTTATGAAGAATCCAGCCGCTATAAAGCAAACCCCTAAAAGCTCTTCTTTAAAGCGTGTACCATCTTAAGGTTAAAGGCATGGTGCTGCTTTGAGAGGCTGTTTGAAGGGACCCTGTTGTGAACACCTTTGTCAATCAGACAGCACAGAATTGAGTCACATACTTGGAACCTCATCCTACACTGGGACTCATTGGTGCTTTGACCCAGTCTTATGTGAGTGTGCTTTCTACCTCAGTTTTCTTACATAGAAAATGTGAGAAATAATATATATTCTGTCAGTATAGTGCTATGATATTTAATTATTATTATCATTATTCTACTGAGGTGATTCATAACCACAATATTAGCATTCCTATGAATTCAGATTTATACATATTGTCCTCGATTTAAATAATATTTACTTAAGTGGTGTGTTTCCTTCTATTTGGGGCAAAGTCTAAGGTATTATTGTCTTCTATTACAACTACACAACCTTTGTAAAATCACTTAATCATTTTACATGAGTAACGAACTGCACATTTAGCAATGCAGTTTATGCCATTGCCCCATTAGGAACTAATTGATAGGAGTGAGGATTTGGATTTGGTGACATTGGTTGGAAGGCCTGTACATTATTCATTCAGCATCTGCTGTTGGCTCTTTTTTTCCCTCTGGAGGAATAAATTACAACACATCAGCACATTTCTCATGCTTTGTATTTAAGCAATTGAAAGCCATTTATTTTATTATTAATATTATTTTATTTCTGCTTGTTTGGCAGCACCAGAGGTTATCAATGCCCATGAGTACAGCCAGCAGTGCGACATTTGGAGCATAGGTGTCATAATGTACCTTTTGTAAGTAGCCTACTGAATGTCCAGTATAAATACAATGGAAGTCTCTGGCTGTAGATTGACATAGATTTTAAATTAAAACTAAACAGTATTTTTTAAAGGTGTAATTTAAAATCCAATTGGATTGTTGTCCTGAGTGCTCTCTCGCTAGGTTTCAGGATCATCTCATAAGTATTTAGTTAGAGCTGCACATTCACCATGTTCAGTTTTGCTTTTCACTGATCTACAAATGCAAGATTGTACCACATAATCCAAGCTAGGTGAAAATCTGTCTTTCCTGGTCCCTTGCTGCAGCTTAGAGTTTCACCTGTAAAGCACCAGGAATAGTGAAGTAGAGCCATCTGCCCCAGAGCTGTCCACAGTGGGGGAGTGGGTACAGTTAGGTAGAGGTTGCTTCAGGATTTAGGGACTGTTGGTATTCCCCAATTCCCTGACCACTGTGACAGCCTCGGTAATTCTTGCCCTTCCTTCCCTCTTGCTCTCATGATTTGGTCAAACCCTAAGTCCTGCAAAGTTTGCCTGTGAAATGTTCTCACCCATTCTTGGCCTTATCATTTCAGGATCTTTGTGGCTGCTTTCCTGCTTCTGTTCACCCTCCACTCTGCTCTTGGCACTGCTTGCAGGACTGTCATCTGCATCATACTCTTTCTAGACTAAAGCTCTCTAATAATTACTCCTTGTCTAGAAAATTACCAGCTCATCTGACATGGTGTGACTTGGCAGATCATTCACTACCTCATATAGCTCGCTTTTCCAGGCTTGGGCTGTGTGTGTGTTTTCATGTACCGCCCTTTCTCTGCGATAACTCTAGGTTACTCTTTGTCACTCACATTCTGCATTGCATGGTGTGTGTGTGTGTGTGTGTGTGTGTGTGTGTGTGTGTGTGTTTATGTGTGCATGCGCAAATGTGTGTGCCATGAGTGCCTACCCTTTTCTCCTCTGTGAACTTTTCTCCTAGATTGGCCAAACACTAAAGCTTTCTTTTTTCCTAACTCCTACCTTACCACAGAAGATATATGTTTATTATATATAAAAACTTTTTTCTGCATCTCACAGAGGATTTAAGTTATTGTTTAAAAACTCATGCAAAATAGTAACACTCAAATAAAAAATATGGCTGGGATGTTAGTTCAGTTGATAAAGTCCCTTCCCAGCACACAGGAATACCTGCTTTGGTCCCCAGCACTGCATATACCAGGTGTGGTGGTTCAAGCCTTCAGTTTCAGCACTAGGGAAATGGACACAGGGGGAGCAGAACTTACTACAGGTCACCCTTGGCTACATAGTCTGCTCCAGGCTACATGAGACTGTCTCGATGTAACTAACAATTCTAATATAGAAATATTTAACATTAAGTGTTAGCACTCATTGTGATATATGAGCAATAACAACTTTTTTTCCCAAGACAGGGTTTGTGTGTGTGTGTGTGTGTGTGTGTGTGTGTGTGTGTGTGTGTGTAACAGCCCTGGCTGTCCTGAAACTCACTTTGTAGATGCTGGCCTTGAACTCACAGAGATCAGCCTGCCTCTACCTCCCAAGTACTGGGATTAAAGGTGTGCATCACCACTACCTGGTAAATAATAACATATTTAAAAGTCAAATTACATGGAAATATTACAATATTCTATTTATCATATCTATTTTCCTTGTTTTAAGTTCTGTGAAAGACAGTTTAAATTATTCATCTTTGCATCCCTGGCATCCGATACAACACAACAACCAGCCCACATTGAGTGTTTAGTACACTTATTAAATTGAATTAAGTGAATTTTCTAAGAGGTGTTCTAAAAAGTTAGTGACCATTGTTCTGTCTTTGAGTGACTCTGAACACTTTGATGTCAATGCAACATTAGTTTTATGGTTATGTTGCTGTGCACTGCCTCTTCCATATCGTGTCTAAACACTAATATCACTGTAGCTACATTTTCATGGTTGTGTGAAATGGAAGACACAGACAGTAGAAGTCAGATGATGTGATTGAGGCTGTAACTGGGTTGGTCCACATGCGTCATTGCTTAGACAGCATGAAGTATAATCATGGGGCAAAAAACCCGAGTTTCGTCTTTAATTAACATGTAACTATTTAAATAAATCTTTCATACGCTTAAGACTGTCTACAAAAGTCCATATTAATTTGCATAGTGAATCATCACACAATCCATATGGTGTTTGTTACTTTTTGAATTTGCTGTTAAGGAAAGCAAGTGTATTACCCACCTTTCATTTTTTTTTTTTTCTTTTTCCTCTTTCTTAACTATCTAATTTGAATGTTTCTGCTCCAGAGTGTGATTGCACATCATTGTAATGGCTTCTTCCTTTCTTCACAGAAGACCATCCCTTAACTCACCAGTGCCTACTCATTAATCTGTTGGAGCCCTGTGGCACTATAGACAATTCCTTTCACCCTGAGCACAGCACATTGCATTCTTCATGTGGGCTACTTCCTTGTTTATCAGTTAGCTCAGATTGATTTCTACTTAATTGGACAATGATAACATGCTTTCTGAAGGTGAAATTAACATAAATAAATACTCTTTATGGTTCCTATCCTCTACTGTCCTAATTCCTGTTAATGCAACAGAAAATAATAGGAAGCTTTAAGAGGCATTTTTTCACGTCCTGGATTCCCTTTTCTGGATGTGCTGGGAAATTGCTGTCATAAAGCTCCATATGCTGCTGATTGACCAACCATTAGATGCATTTTGCGTAAATAAAATTGCAAAGGACAGGAAAAAAGTGGAAAATTTAAAATGTAGCCCTTAAGCTATAGTTGCTTGCAGAGGCTGCTAAGAGATTGGGGGCCATGCATATCACTGCTTGATAACAGGCTCAATGAACTGGGCCTTAGCTGGCCTGTACTTGTTATAATAGATAGTAAGTGTCCATACAACCATTTTTCTGGTTATTTTCTTTCTGTGTTCTATGGCTTTTAAAATTCCATTTTAAAACTAAGCAGTAGTAAACCAAGTAAGAAGAAAGAAGTGTCAGAATGAGCTTGAGAAATAAAAAGTATTAAAGTAAGAATTTGTACAACAGCTTGACAACTACTGATCCCCTAACAAGAAGCTTTTCCAGGAGAAGCTATCTGCCCCAGACTACATCCTTTGCTCATGCCGCTGTGACTATGCACTCAATCCCTACACACCTTCCTGCATTGTAACCCTTAATCCTAGTGTCTCCCACCCGCAGAAGCCTTGGGGGCATTTGCAGTTCTGAGGTCTTGGTGCCTAGGCATGCCCTGAGATGAGACCAGCAATGAGCCTGATGGCCCCATTGCTTCTTCTGTCCAGCCAGAGGCACCCTTCTCTTTCTGTCTGTTACTTACTACAAAGCATCACTCCTCCAAGTCCTGCAGAAAGTTAATTTTTAAGAGTCTTACGTTGAAAACATATGAACAAATGACTGCCTTTGTTTAGACTGTGTGGAGAGCCACCCTTTTTGGCAAACTCGGAGGAAAAGCTCTTTGAATTAATAAGAAAGGGAGAGCTAGAATTTGAAGACCCAGTCTGGGAATCTGTAAGTGATTCTGGTGAGTATGGATTTGTATTATTTACTAAAAGCAAACAATTAATATATGGAAATTGACCCACTAATAAAACTTTTGTAAATATCTGGTTAATCATAGAGTCTACTTTAGATTAAATGATATTTGCTCATGGAAATAGTGATATTTTCATTGTGATTGTGATGGCCAAAACTTCCAGGAACAAAACAAAAAGTACCAATTAAAAAAATAAAGTGGAATCTTGCTGTTGTGTACCGTTTTCACTATAAATCATTAATCCAGATAATCTAGCAACAGAAGGTATTCAATACTATTTATTAGACTTTCATATTGGTGATACTTGGCATCCTTTGTATTATATAATCATAACCTAAATAAATGGGAAATGAATAATTTTTGTTTTGCTTTGTATTTTTTACCAGGGTTGGGGGGTGTCTCTCTCTGAGTTGTCTTAACTTTTTGGCTTGTTTCAAATTTGTGGGCACAAACAATACTCCTGTCTCAGCCTCTCAAGTAGCGGGGGCTAGCAGCCTGTGTCACCATGTCCAGCTAATGTGTGACATTAACTGAGGTTAAGAGAAATAATATTTCAAGGTTTTTCTCCCCTTTATTTGCAGCAAAAAATGTTTTGAAACAACTTATGAAAGTAGATCCTGCTCACAGAATCACAGCTAAGGAACTTCTAGATAACCAGTGGTTGACAGTAAGTTACAGTGCTCCTTTTTAAAAACTTTCTTTCTGACATCACGCATTTTGCATGGTCTTGTAGTCTTGAAGCAGTCAATTAGTTCCATCTTCTGACAAGTTAAAAAGGAGTAGTGAGTCTTGACACATTTCTGAAATGGGCAGTTCCAAATGTTTCTGACTGTCACCACAGTTGCTCATATGTATTTATAGACATTCAAATGAACTTTGTTTGTTCTCTGTCACAGAAGCTTCATGTCCAGTAGAACAGAACTGAGAAATGTCTTAGGAAATTGATGCAGATGAAGCAAGTGGGACAAGTTCCAGATGTAGAGCTCTAGAACCAGTTCTATCTCACTCAGCTCTTTGAATACCGGGAGTCTTTGGGGGACCTTGGAGGGCATGCTTCCAAATGGTTTTTATTACCTAGGCTTAAATGTTTAGTCTTTATTTATTTGCATGTTGCTTTCCACAATTAGACTACAAACCTTGGTGGAGACACTTTGGCCTCTGCATCCCTATACCAGAACAGGACCCAGTCACAGCTGGAACTTGGGTATGGCTGCTATTGAATCTTTAGCTGGAAACATTGCTATTCAGTTAAGTGTATCTTTATTCCCCAGTTTTCTGTGTTAGTCACCATTGACGGCTAATGAGATGTGAAGGGACTGTGCAGTCTCCTCCTAAATGGAGCAGGCTCAGCATTCTTCATGCCTTTTTTCTTTCATGGTGACTTGGATTGTGATAGCTGGCGATTGAGTAGCCATGATAGACAAGAAAGCAGAACTACAAAGTGGGATTGGCAAACAACAATAAAATGCAAGATACCAGGGCATATAGTTCACAAAGTCACCATGCCAATCTATTCCAGAACTCCTTGTTTTAGCAGAATGTAAATTTCTTTTATCTTTAGGATTCTTTGGGATATGCAAGCAAGCAAGCCTAATCCTAGTTATTACAATTATCAATTATGAGTGATTTCTTTTCAGTGAACAATTAACTGTCATTAAGTCCATAAAATCACAAGGAAAGTATGAGATTTTATACTAGAAATTACAAGCATTACATGAGATCATTATTAACACTATTCACTAAAAATTAAATATATACTTAGCTAGACAGTGTTTTAGGGACCAATGACACAAATACAATTATATTTGAAATGAAAATTGCTTTTGTAGTTATATTTTTAAAGTCATTCCAGGCATTTGGTGGGCAATGACTTAGAGAATTTGATAAGTATTGAAGTACCATTTCTGAGAGGTGGTGGCAGTTTAGATAGGGTAGAAACAAAGAAAACGTATGTGAGACAGAGCATTTAGAAGTGTAAATGAAAGACTGTGGGTATAGTTCTGCAGTAGGGTACTTGCATAGCTTGCCACTGAAGAAAAGGAAGAGAAAGATGTGGGGGTGGGGTGGTGAGGAAATGTGAGCCATAGAATTTGATGGTGGATTGCATGAATAATAAAAGTAGGAGGAACACTGAATGAAATCTAGATTTTGCTCCAACTGGTTGAACAGTGGTTCCATTTATTAAGATGTGGACAGTTAAGGAAGAGTAGATTCTCCCTGTAGGACATGGGTGATGAGTCAAGAGCTCTGGATAAGGTGTGATAAGTTTAAAATGCTATGCGATAGGCAAGTAGACATGTCAAATAGATAAATAGATATGGGCCTGGAACTGGAGTAATAAACTATGAGTACATAGATACCATGTAAAAACCACCAGGCTCTAGAGGTAAATTAGCAATCGAGCAAAGACAGAAAGGCCTCACAACATGCTCACAACACTGCAATGTCCAGAAGAGGCCCAGATAAGTTTAGATACCATAAATATATTGTGGTATCAGTTTTAAAATTCTTTAATTTTCTTTTTACAACTTTGAACCATTTCTTTGAATTCCTTTTCTTTAAGACTAAAGCGTAGTTTTCTCTCAAGCATGTAATATATCTGCCCTCTTCTGTAACTATTTTGATCTCTTCTAGGATTCTGTGGTGTAATTATTTCTGGCCTAGCAGAGAGATCATTGTAAAAAGTATGGAGTAGATCTGTAGTACAGGAAAATACAAAGTTGTAAAACAGATGGCATGCTTTAGAAATTTGTCTCTTTTCAGCATCACACAACATTCGGGTTTGGCCATTTAATTATTTGTTTTCTAATTAGTTCAGCTTTATTTCTAGCTTTGGTCATTTTTCCAGAAGTCTCCATTTTCAAGCCTCTAACATTTGTCTCTCTGAAGTCTTTGCCAAATGGATAAAAAGTGACAGATATTGTGTACTATATTGGACTCTCCTAAGTTCAGTGCATGAAATTTAGAATGCTGGCATTTTACAAGCTTATGAAAGGCATGACTCGTTTCTTCCTAACACTTGAAGTCTCCCTTCCTGTAATTCATGTCCTCTGTTTGAAATAGTCTAAAGCGAGCAAGATGGTCCCCTCAGAGCCTCACTGCTTCATATCAGGGCCTGCTTTTCTCAATACCTAATGCTTGGTAACATTTTCTTTTCAAAGAGCTTTATTGGATTAAAAGTGTCTGAAGTTTAGCCTATGTATTGTGTGCATTTTGAAGCATGATGCATATCTTAAAAGTATTCCAAGAAAAAGAATTATTTTTTTTCCTCTATACATTTAAGTGAACAGAATTTCAAATAAGCACTAAGTGCCCCATGGTTTCAAAAGCTGAATGGTAGATGTGAAGAGAAGACGCTGAGGTGACCATCATGACCAGCAGCAGGGGCAGGGTTTGAAGAGACCTCTGGCTGGGAACTCACTGGTATTTTCTGCCAGCTGCTTTCCCTTCCTTTTTCTTGTCAGCTCGGATCAGGCACTTTTTACCAGACCTTTTTGTTAGCCTCTCACTTTCTTCAAGCCCCTAGGTCACAGGTTAACACCAAGAATTTACATTTTAAAAACACATCTCCAAGGAATTTCTTCTGACCTCTTGCATTTTAAGACAACTGGCATGCAGAGAATATATATTAGGGGGATTGTTCTTCTTCTGCTGTGATTTGTAAAAAGATAGCTTCCACTCTGAGCTTTACTAGGATTTTTCATGCATGGGTAAATCCTTCAACATGCTTTTTAATACATGCTGTTAGGTCACAGACCCACTGACAGCCCCTCCCCCTCCTAGAAACCTGGCCCAGCCTCCTTGTGACACTCTTCCCCGCCCCCCCTCTTTCTCTGTGGGATGCAGAGTTGGCAAGAAAGGAACCTGTGCTTGCAGTCTCTCCCTCCTCCAGTTACAAGATAAATTTGTGGTTCTACCTAGTCCTGCCCCTGTGCCCTTGACTTGTAGGCCAGTCTAGATCGTGTGGTATGATGTTTGCCTATGCCTCTACCCCCTGAAAATAGAAGAGTCAGAAACTCCCTTTGTTTTTTTGGAACTTAAAGGTATATTTGTCTCCCCAGGGCCCCTGTGGTTTTTCTTCTAATGTAGCTACTCTTGAAGAGAAGACTGTTTTCAAGGCCTCTTTGTTCTGTCTCTGGTCCTGATGCTCTGTGTCGTCTAATGTTCTCCCACTGGACCATGGCTGCCAATGGTTGTGAGGTCCCCTTCTACAAAGTTCATCTTCATGCGTTATCATGTGTCTGCTCCTTGCTACATGCTCTCTATTATTTCTCTACTGCTTAACACTCACCACATTCCAGGCTCTGTGCTTGATCATTAAAATGTAGTATACATAAAAGGCATGGTCTCTGAAATAAGGAACTTACAACTTAGTAAAGAAAGCAAGTAATACATAACTTTTAATGCAAGGAAGAAGACACAGGGGATTTTAAATGGTCAGAAGTAAAGGGGCAGGTATTGTGAAGCCAGGAAGTTCAATCTGACAGACAGGTAGATGCTGAAGAAAATGAATGGGAAAGGAAACCAGGGAAGAAAAGATAGCTGTGAAGGGATTAGATCCCAGGTCAAAGAACTTTACCTTTACTTCAAAGTGAGGAATAATTGTGTGTGAGATAAACTTGCAAGGTGGCTTATTTTTAAATAAGTCAATATCCATTGACCCTAATCTTAACAAGTATCATTTAACTTTACATTTTCAGGCATTGTCAGGACTCAAAGATAAACAACACACTTTTCTTCCATAAGCCATTTCCCATGAGTTGAAGTGTGTACTTTGCTCTGTGGCCACACTCTGCAGAGGCACTGGTGACCAAGGTTTAGGGCCATTCCCCTGATAGTCTCTCCCACTGTGCAAACAGGGCCCTTGTTCATTAATTTACAAATTGTTATTCAAGTTTTAGACATTAGTTTTTGACTGCTAGCTTCGATAGACACACCCATAAGAAGATGGAAATGTTATGGTCCCTAACTAATTGTGGGTTAGTTTTTCCTCCTATATATTTTCATCTTAAACATTTTAGAATTCCTTCTGCTATTCTACTACACAGTTTCTCTTGTAGATAAGATAATTATAAATTATTTTATCCATACATGTGCATGTATATATGAATATGTTATTGCATCCCAAATTAATGAAACTTTCAATAAAGTCATGTTAGGAAGAGGCTCATGAACTAGGGCACAAGATTTAGTCAGTTATTGATACTAAAAACTGAACCATATTTATTGAATAACTGTTACATACAGAAGGGGACCTGTGGGCCAGCCTGGTATAGTCTCTACATGTGGGTTCTCCTCCTAATGTAGGGTTTAAAGCAAGATACAGGCAGATCTTGTAAGGAAGAATCACACATCCTACTGTTCAGCAGTAGTATGCAACTTGAGAATAACTGAGGTAATATTTTAAGTGCACCCAAGGAAACACAACTTTAAACCTAAAATTTTATATCCATCCAAATGGTCATTGGCATGAAAAGAAATAGTGAAAGTATTTTTAAATAAGCAAGACCTCAGAGGGTCCATCACAGAGGCCAACACTTCGCACACTTGATGGAGCTGTATATTCGGGTGTCTTTATATACCTGGTGTAAGGGTTATTGGTATGTTATACAAACAAGAAAAGTAGAAAATATTTTCATAATAATCCAGAATGAAAAGTTCAGATAG